AGTGAAACCCGAAAACACATGGCATTAAAATAGTGCGTGTCATGTGTATAGAGAGAACCCTAGCCCTCACAATTGGAGTAACTATGTTGTGCATCGTAAACACTGTGCCACACTTGTGCGTGAGAACAAATAAGTACCCGAGCATAATATACCGGAAAGATTTATGTTAACATAAAGCTGCTGTACCGACATGTGAACAGTCTCCGGAATGTGAAACGTGATGTTTCCCCACTAATATTAGGCTATGGATGTGCTCAAACCACCGAGGATGTAGCTGACGTTCTAAGGCTCTATTATGCTCCAAGTATTCGACGTGCTCCCAGCATCTGGAACATACTTGTTTCATTCTCCTAGGTGCCAGCATTTACACACGTTACGTTTAGTTCAGCGATCATTTGTAGGAAGCTGCTGTCGTTGAGCACCCATAATTCCCCAGGATTTGACAACATTCCCCCGAAAACACTGCGGTTGGCAGCTGCTTGGCTAATGGAACGATTAGCGAGATTTTTCCGAAGATGCCTGGAGAAACAGCAGGTCGATAGCGTGTGGAAGCAAGGCAACATTAGGCCGATTGTGAAAACTGGTAGCCTTTCAGCGCCGGCCAAATTTCGTCAAGTGATACTCCTACCAGTGCTCTCTAATGTGATGGAATCCATCACAGCTGAGGCTATGATGGGCTACTTCGAAAGGACTAGCATCATAGCATCGGAGCAACACGGATTACCTACTACTACTAATGCACTTCTTGCCCGTGGCATCTGGACTGAGATAACCGACAGTGGGCCGGTATTGATGTCAACTACCTAGACTTTTCCAATACATTCGACTGCATATTTCACCGTATAATTCTGAAAAAGCTGCAAGAAGGCGGCGTTGGTAACCATGTCCTATGTTGGATCAGAAACTTGCTCTTTCCGCAGCGCCTTCAGATTCGAGTTCGGGGATCATATTCTGATCCAACTGATGTGAACTAAGGTGTTCCAATTGGGTTGTTGTTGGGGCCACGGTTATTATTATTCTCCGTTAACGAACTTGCGAGTTTCCTCAAGTCCATTTTCCTGCTTTCTAATGATGACATCAAGATATGAAGGGCAATCGACTGTCAGAATATAACGATTTGTTGCTACGAGTCAGCCTGCGCTTTGGTATGGTCAACCTTAACTTTTTCTCTGTTTAACACGGACAATTGTACAAAGGTGCATGTCCTCCACAAGCTCACACACGCAAATAAGCTTAGAGACGATATGCTGAAAACAGCTTCAGATAACGAGACATTTTGGTGATAACTCAAGACGAGCTTGTTTGTTTGGCGCAGTCCTTAAAGGCGTCCAAAACCGCGAACGGACATATTGGTCTGTTATGTAGGGCTTTCGGGAGTTTCGATCCTCCATCTTGCCTTAAATGCCCAATGAGTATGTGAGGCCTCATGTAGAGTACGCGCGCTAGGCTTGGCAACCCTGGTTAAAACGTGACCTGGTTGCACTATATACCAATGAGCGACGGGTATAAAATTAGGAAGTGGTTGTCCCACCTGCGATAAATAGGCGACTGATATCCCTGGGTTGTACGACATTAGATATAGCTGTCTATTGAGTGACCTCATCCTGGCGTTCCAGATTTATAAAAATCCTTGTCCCGATTGCCGCCACCTGCTGAAGCTTAGCTGTAACACAGCAATGAGGGGTTGTAAAATGAAACTTGTCAATATAATTATTTTTCCCTTCGAGTTGTCAACCGTGGAAGGCTCTCTCGACTTTTTCATTTCAGCCCTATAGCTACCCATTTTTCCAAAAACTCGGCGGTGGTTTACATTATTTGCTTTACTTGATCTCATTTGCATGTAATGAGTGACGACAATACGAATACAAACATTGTTCTCACCAACCTCAGGATATCGGAGTAGACGGATATACCTATGTCCCAAAGTGGATAATATGGTAAGTCGACAGATGTGTTTCACTTTTGTGTAATTTACTTGAATTAACCTTTTTCCTACAAACCATTTTACGGGGCCTTTCTAGCCTGGGCATTTGGTCGGAATTATACCGTTTTTCTCTTGTGCCATTTTTCCACCTGGTAAAACGTGATATTAGTGGATGACATGATTTTCAAACTGATCATTATTCTTTCACTGAACTACCGATTTTACTATACCTAATCCGAACAGGTCAATTTGCGTTTCAAATGAATTCGATATTAGGTCGGACAAAAAATATTATATTTGTTCCTTTTTAAAGTATACTGCTATCTAGCTACTAACTGATGCAGTGTTAACGGTTGCTTCTTTATGCTTAAGACATAGTTACACGGTGCTAGCATGGTATTTAACAAGATATTGTACAGTGACTTTTGCATAATTAGAGTAGTCTGTTATCTGTTTCTTTTTCACCGGTACTTTTTGTCAATCAGTCAAATAATATATGTGAATTTCAAAAAAAATGGAAATTCACAGACCACATTAATTAATATTAACGATATTTAGGATTAATGAGAAGGAAACGAAGTTATATTTGGCTCCTTGTGGCTAACAAATACATGGGGTTAGGTTAACGCCCTACTACAAGGACAATAGAAAGGCAAGTACCAAGGTCTTACAAGCTTGTCCATTGAAGAAGGAGAATCCATGGAAAATGAATAAGAGTTAGTTTATGTATGCTAAAACGATCAGTCAGCATCTTTACTAGCGTTTACATATTGAGTTTTGTGGGCAAAACGGGCAACTTTGAACCCCAACTATTAGAAATACCAACTGATAATTTTGAAATCAGTCGCTAAACAAAACAAGTTTCGATCTGAACTAATTAAGTAAGCCTGACCGCACCTGTATCCTTGTGTACTAAACCATTTTTAGGTTGACCTTCTTTGAGAGGTTTCCAAAGAATTGTAATGATGTTTCAGAGGTAATTTATCGCGGACGCGCTTGTCTACTATATGTTTTCTTCAACGTGGTTTAGGCTTTCGACGGATTGACGCTCGAATCAGCCGTGGTTTATAGAAAATAACTTGCGAATGTGTAAAAACACAGATTGATGTCTGCAAATATTGGTTAAACATTGTGAGAATAAACAACTCGCCCTTTGGAGAGCAACAGTTATTTAAATTTCTATTTAAACAAAGACACTAAATTTAATGCTGTATAATTGTAACATTAATCTACGCTGCATTAGTATTGTGTCTTTAAATCAGCCTTTGTCTTTCACCGGAACAACATTCTTTTTGACCAACGTCACATCAGATTTCATAGAGATTCTTTACCTTCTTATCTGTTAGCTTAGTACAAATTTTATTAGGGCTCTCCATTGCAGGTTTGTGAAATTCGACACTGTGAAAATATGCGTATCCTGCAAAGTGGATAGACGTCGTTTCGAAATTAAATACAGCTTCCTAGTTTTGAAAAACTAGTCTGCGACTATCTACTACCCACCGTATGTAAATACAACCTGGTTTATTTGATTAACACCTACACCGCTAATGTAATTTTTCATACTTGCACAATTTTCCATTTCTAATGATATTGTTTTGCACATCTGGTTTGGGTAATGTGAAATGCTGTAGATATACTATATCAGGTATTCAAAGCAAGGACATAAATTTTTTGGTTTAATCCCTACGTGGTAAAACAAATCCCTAAGCTAATTTTTCCATTATTTTTTAATTTAAAATATTTATAACAACCCATTTTGCCTCCTTCGTTTCCCTTCAGTAAAAGCGTAACTAGAATGAACACCCAAAGTAACTATTACTCATGTTCACACAATGGTATCAGTTAATATTCAATAACGTACGCCCATCGGGATAGGTGCAAGGAACTTTAACTCAAAAATATATGTACACAAAATCTCTATTTACTTCTGTAGTTTATACTATTAGTAGACTGAAGAGCATACGTTGAATAATAGTTAGTTATTTTTCAGCTAATAACCTTTAACAATACAAGCGTAGGTCAATTTGTGTTAGCATTTCACAGATTCCCAAATAAACGTAGTCCAAATTCTGTGTCGTTAAATGCTACTTCAAATGGAGTAGGCTACTTAGGGACATTCATAAACAAGAAAATGCTTGACCTTCGGAATCCAGTGATAAGAGTATAATATATGCTGAAGGTTTAGCTTTAATTAATAAGCGGTTTTTGCAGTCCGATCTATTCATAATTAATAAGAAAGAGCGTGAATTCCCGATATGTTATATGGAGTGGATATGACTTCAAATATTATTTCAACTCATATTACTTTAAAGATTTTCAGTTCTGCCCTTGTACTTTATTCAATATTCGCAGTCAATCCGTCTAATCAAGCCCCTATTTTATTAAACAAGCTGCTTACTGGAAAGTATATCTGAATATCACATGGTGGTATCAAGAACAAAACGTCCCCCATATGCTCAGATTTCAGTGCACACAGTTTGCACAGTCACACTGTTATTGTGTCGAAGCAACCTACCTTAACGTTCGTATATCGCACAATCTGCGCGAACCGGCTGATTTATATTTAAGCTGGGGTTAGCACTGGTGACCCAAACCAATATTACACTCTTATTGTCTTTATCATTTTACCAGTACCTTGAATTATTTGCACAACGTTATCTCTTTACTAGATTCCATGGTATGGAATGTTCACGTAATATTGCATATCAGCGCTTTCAAGTTTCCTTCCCTTTCAGCTCTTTTAGGAGTGTTTACCCTTGAACAAACATTGAAAAGCCACTTGCTTACAAAGCAGCCCTCTGGTCCTCAGCTTGCAGACTTTTGCTCACAAGAAATTTTGCGATTTATATTATCTGTTTCGATTTGTATTGTAATGCGTTATATTGTGGATTTTGATTATACTAAGTAAAAAACTTTTAACTGCATTTTATAGAACATGTTGCCAATATGTACTCTATGCTCCTGATAAATGGCAGGTTTAAACCTTTTATGGATATTCACAACTTTCGCTACTTTTAGTGATAGCAAATTCGTCCGAGGTACTTGTCAAATAGTAGGATGTATGGTTGAGGATCTCATGCGAGTTTATCGTTTTGCGATCAGGGGGGGGGGGGGGGGGGGGGGTTTCCCGCTCATCTCTATCACGTCTATAATCTTCTACGCAACGCCGCACTCTACTCTTGCTTGGGTACTTCATTTAGTAACCTACTAGAGAGGGGGGGGTCAAATATACTATCGGGACAGACAACTGTATTTTTCACCTAATTAATTTTATCTTTTTCTGCAATACGTTTTGGATTGTTAGACACGTTAATTCAGCCGTGGTGGGACGGCGTAGGGCTGGTCGGGTTTCGCGGAAATGGGAGTTAGAAAGGGCGTTGGCGCGCTGAAGCGTCGGGGTAGGCTAAGGAGACGATGTAATTGGATGTGCACGTCTTTTATAAAGGTTTGTAATTTGCAGAGAGTGATGGCGAGGAGAGGAATGTAAGGAGGTTGTAGGGGGGTTGGGTTATTTTTAGGGGATTGGTGTAGGGGGTTGTATGATTAGGGTAGTGTAATGGTAAAACATTTATGTTTGGTTGTGGAAGGGTGTATGGTGAATGGTGGGGGGATTGTTAATTGGTTGGGGGAGGTGGGTTGTAGAAGTAGTATTTGTTGGAGTGTTGGTGGTTGTTTTTTTTTTTTTTGTGTTGGTTGATTTTGGTGTAAGTGGTTGTTGTGTAATAGTGATGGGGGTGGTTTATGGGGGGGGTATGTGTGGGGGAGGATTTGGGGAATTATTAGGGGGGGGGGGGGGGGGGGGAATGATAGGGGGGGAAGGTTGGGGGGGGAAGTTGGTGGGGGGGAGGGGGGTGGTTATGGGGGGTGGGGGGAGGGAGTTGATGGTTGTTTAGGGGGGGATTATGTGGGGGGGTGTGGTATTGGTTTGGGGGGGGGGATATGGGGGTTGTAATGGGGAGTTTTGGGTGATGGGGTGGGTGTGATTTAGTGATGTTGATGGTGAAGTTTTTGTTTAGGTGTTGGGGTTGAGGGGTTGGTTGTAGTAGGGGGATATGAGATGGGGGGATGTGAGTTAGGGGGTTTGGTGATATAGAAGAGAGAGTTTGTGGTGCGGTTGGGGTGAATGGGTTGATTTGATTTTTTAGGGGATTGTGTTGATTGTGTGATTTGTTATGGATATGTTTGGTGTAGTATGAGGGTGTTGTAAAATAAAGTTTGTGTTACAACAAATTTCGCGGTGTGCTTTGAAATGATTACATATTTTCTTTTGTACTTACGGTCGTGACCCATGGCCAAAGTCGATAGATAGAGTGAAACCAGATTATCTTAGCTTCTTCAGCAATGATAAAACGATGGAAAAGGCTATATGTTTGGTTTGTCGGACTTAATCCTACTGATCAGCAGGATAACACAGCCCGCTGATCACCTTTTAACCCATAAGAAGAGATGAAGTTTTAGCGCTATGTACTAGGATTGCTCATTGTGGAGTTTCATATTCTTTCAAAAGTCATAGGGAATATTGAAATTATTGCAGAGGATGAATATTATTTAACTTTGTGTACCCTTGATTAGCTGAAAGGGAGTAAGCTTGGGACGGAATATTGTGTTAACATTATTTATGGTTATTATTCCCTGACCATGTGGGCACTTCATGTATATTTGTGCAACACCCTTAAACATAGAGGCTGCTGGTCTGTATAGTGCATTTAAATTTAGTGATAGCAGAGATAACGTGACCACGGGAATTGGACTTGTACTGAATGTGAAATAGTTTCCATAGACGTCATTATATTGAAAGATGAGTAAAAGAAATACCAAACGTATTCCAGTCGAATGTATGGAAATAATGAATTATCTCAAACACGTTTATAATATAATTACATTGAAATCATTAGCCACAGAGGATATGGGTATGATGCCTGAGTGCGTTTTGCACCCGTTAACTTCATTGTTTGCAGTAAAGATTTCTGAATACCAGCAAGTTTTCGTTCCCGAGGATAATGCGGCCCAAGACAACCGTATTGCTGGCATCGTGTTTGGGTACATATACAGGTCTGCTGTACATTAATGTGAGTAGACGTATGCTTTTTAGATCGCCAGCAATGGTGGTGTACCAAACCTTAAGACATCCATATGGTCTGAATAATGCAATATGGCAGACAAACATGAAAGGGCCCACTAAGCTTTGAAATAGCGTGAAAAGACGAAATAACTGCTACGTTATCACAGAGTTTTGCACGTATTTTGTCAAGATGTTATGTATATTTTACCTTAGAAATTAATGTATATCTGAGTCGCAGTTATGGATAATCCAGTATTATACGAGGGATATAAAATGTCGCATATACTCACTCTATCATCTTATGCAATTGGCTCAGTTGCACCTAAGCCGGTCAAGTATATAGGGCTTGGTTGTCTGTAAGTCGATCGATTTTCATTTCAGATTGCATAACGATGGTGTGGTTCATTTGCTCTGTCTTTATTACGATTATCCACCAGCATTCAACACTTTGCTAAATAGTTTGCGACAAATACTCGTGTAATTGCTATTAAACTCACTCTCTAATATATCCGCTACGTTATTTTACATTTGCTACATGTAGAAACACACCTTTACAACGGAAAATGTTACTACTGGACATATTTTCTTCAAGCAACCCGTTCATCCGTGTTCTCCACTAAATCATTGTGTTGTGCGAACACCCTCGTGCGACCTGCTAGATCATTTATAAACTATTGACAGACGGATGTTAAGTGATTAATGAAGAGAAATCGTTCTGACTGACAATCATTTATTCATGGCAAACAATTCACCTCAAGGCTGTTATAGTGGTCACAGCTTTTATTGCAGTTTTGTTGAAAATTCACGATTAATTCAGCAGTAGAAGACAATACAAATACGACAACTAGGTTTTGCGAGAATATTTCAAGGGATTATGGTCAGGAGTAATTAAAGGGATATTTGACTTTTTGGATGTAAATGAGTATAGAACGTTTTTTATATGGTACTATTCATTTCTGGTCTTCAGATTCTTCGTTGCAGCAAAACAAGTAGAATTGTGTTTGGAATAAATCGTCTTAACCCATTTTCTGCTGAGCCTTTAACAATTATCTATATGTTGTAGAAAATGGAGAAAAGATACTCACATGAGGTATGGATTCTGGAAATTTGGTTTAGTTTAGAAGATTTACAGACTTTGCTGACTTTCTTCGCGGATATCATGAACAAATGATGGAGTAACATAGGATGTTAAACGCAAAAATGTAACCGCATTTTCAAAGCGATCAAAAATGGCTCGTGGATTTGCTTTGAATATGATGAGTATTTCCTTCAAATATATGATATAACAGTCAGTTACTCAATATAAAACTGTATGCAGCGCACATACACGCGAAGATGTGTTCGATAGTTCATGCGTGTTAAGCCGCTTGTAGGTTTCGTGTAATGACAACGCACAAACAGAACGGGATCGATTAGCTTTCTTTCTCCAGTCACCGCATCTTCTTTTTGTTGTCATGGATGCCAAAATTGTCCAAAACAAGATTTTCCTATTCTGTTCACAACCTTTGTCTTTTTCTGCGGGTTTCAATATTTGTCTCCGATACTTACAGCTGTAAGTGTACTTTCACAACAGCACATTTTAAGTAGAGCATTCCATGCAGCATTCGTTCATTTGCAGGATAGTTTCCGTACAAATGCCAAACATTATGTGCTGTGGCATGAAGGAGAGAGAATAATAATGGCCACCGCCAACGTAGGCTGCAGAAACTGATATTATCTTGAACGATATTTTAGTCCAATCGGTCTATTCTTCCAGTGGAATTGTTTTACTTGGTAACGATACCAGATTTTTCGAAGTATACGCTCTTTATCTTTCGCCGACCATATCTTTACTTTTGTCAGTGGATATACACCAACACATTTACTGAGAGGAGTCAGAACGGAGTTATTACTCTAAGGCGAAAACGAACCCGATATCCCGCCTGTCGAACCTACTGTTATAAGTGGCATATTTTTAGTTTTCTTAGGGCCTTCGTTATATAAATAGAGAACAATTTGTTCTCTTTCGCGAGGCCTGTTCAAGGAGTCATTATAAATAAGTGCACTTGTACAGACGTTTCATGGAATTTGTAATTGTGACTATCGAAACGTGTTCAGAAGTTAAAATTAAAAACCGTACTAGAGCAAATTTGTAAAAATGAATAGCTTTGATGTGCTTGATGGACATGTTTGTATGGGCGTGTAATGTCTGCCAAACGGCAGTATTATTTCAGCCACCAATAGTTAAATACTTGCGGCTGCTCAATTATAAAATAACTTTTGAAGAACAGTAAAAGTGATTTCCTGATACACTGCGTTAATGTATGCTCAAACTGACCTCGCTATTCTCATGGTTTTATCGTATAATTATTTAATGGGCGGTAAGCCTGTAAATGAATTGTCAAAAAGGTTTGATAGAGCTACCCGTGGGCAGCTTATACTCTAGGCCCATAAAAATGCCATATTCCAAGCCTGTATATGCGGTTTGGCTTGCGATACATAATATATATTCAGCTTTGCATCATAACTTAGAGATGTCGGAATGACCAACTGTTTATACCTGAATCTACTAAACTATCCCTTAATAACTTGCTTCATTTATTGTGGGAAACAGTATGGCATCACGCTTTCATCCACGAACGTAACTTCCTCGATGGTGAATAATGTCCTAACATATAGAGTGGTCGAATTTTGCCGTAGCTTCCTTTTGTTAGATTTTATTCATAATATTTGGGTTCTTCTCAGATGGTTTGCCTTCCATCTGGACTGTAATTACTGACCCATGAGGCAATGCTAATGTGTTTTCATCGTCAGGAGAACTTGCACTGCTGACAGATCATCAAGAGATCCAGCATCGGGAAGCAGGATATCATTTTCAGCAAAAGTTTGCCCATATCCCCGTGGTCTAATGTCATTGATGAATTTCAGGTCGCTATCAGCTTATTCTATCATGGTGATATCATCTTTCCCAGAATAGGGTGTAAGATCCTAGTTTGTGAAGGGTTATTTAACTAACTGATATATAGGTTTAAATATTTTAGAAATATATTATTGCAATAAAAGCGATTATGTTATCAAAAGTACGAAAAAAATCACGCTGCAAACCTTCCCAAATGAAATCGGTATATTTAAAATAATTAACTCCTTTTCTCTCATGATAACAAAATTGAAGTTGTCCCAAGCTAGTTATCACAGTATAAATTGTTGCTGTCGTCATTAAAGAAAGACAGATGGATGTATGGCATGGATGCAATAATCATCACACATTTTAAAAAATTATATTTAAAAATTTCAACTATAAAATATAGAATACATTTCCCAGTTCTGCATAAATAACTGATTAATGTAGACTTGCTTGTTCGTATTCTCAATTATTTTCAGAACTTATGATCGCAAGCAAAGTGAAGCTGTTTTCAAAAATAAACTTAGCATATCTGATATATTTTCAAAATATTGTGTATTAATGATTAACTAATATTGCAACCAATTAAATTATAAATATTTAGCATTTCATGATCTCGACTCATTTTTAATATGTGACCTTAAGAACCAACGGCAGCAGAAAACGGTTTTGTAACTCGGAATCAAATCAATCATATGGCTCACCGAAAGTTCACGACCGTAAGGCTACAGGAACTGTTCATAAAGGCGATGGACCAAAAATCCCTGAAACAGTTCGATTAATCTTATGAATAAAAACAAACCGGCGCCAAAGTCACGTGGAGCTGGAAGCATGGGGAGGTTAAATAACGACCACTGAGTTAAGTCCAACCTGTTATACTGGCTGTCATTTTATGGCGATCACCACCCCAACGCAACTGGCCTAATACACCCCAATGTTTCCACTATATTTGCTCATGTACTTAAGTTGTTAATCACGTCCAGCTGCCTAACGCAACGGCGACCGCGTA